GTGTGTGTGTGTGTGTGTGTGTGTGTGTGTGTGTGTGTGTGTGTGTGCGCGCGCGCAGTAAAACCGCTCTGTTAGAAGGTCTGGAGGTGGATCAATACATGCTGGGAATCCTCATCTACGTTCAGAAGTAAGAAACTCCATTTATTCAGACTTTACTTTGATAGTCAGTCTTTTATTTTGAAGGGCCATTTCCTGTACTAACCCCCCTTCCCCACAGCTCTGAGTACGAGGAGATCACCATCGACCCGGTCTGTAGCTGGAAGCCGGTCCCGGTGAAGCCGGACCTCCACATAAAGGAGGACCCCGACGGTCCGGTTCTGAAGCGCTGCAGGACGCTCAGCCCGAGTCACATGGTGCTGCCCAGCGTCATGGAGATGATCGCATCGCTAGGCCCCGCCCCCTCTTCGGCCGCCTCCTCCCCGATGCCCTACCCCCCCCTACCTGCAGGGGGTGGCGGCGCGGTGGACTACCCGGGACCAGGTACCCAGATCCTCCTGGTCCACTTAGAGTCTCAGGATGTCCTGCTAAAAAGAGAGATCAATAACCAATTATTGTGTGTGTGTGTGTGTGTGTCCTCAGCTCCGTCCTATCCCAGTCAACACTCTTTCTCAGACTTCACTGGTCCTGGGACTCCGGGGGTCGGGGGGGATTTCTCCTCCCCCGGCCCCCCCCCCCTCTCCTACCAGTCTGAGCTCTCCAGTGCCCTCCTCACCCCTGACAAACCCCCCCCACACCCACTGGCTGGACAGGTATGTTAACACCTTAATCTTCATCATCTTTATCATCATATTAGTGATTATTAATGTTCACTCGGTTCACCTCCTCTCTCCTTTCCTTCCTCTCCTCTGTCCTTCTTCTCTTCCTCTCTTCTTTCTTGTTTCCTTCTCTTTTACATCCTGCCCTCAATCCTTTCCTCTCCTCCCCTCCTCTCCTCTTTCCTCCTCTCCTTTTCTCTTTCCTTCTTTCCTTCCTCTCCTGTTTCCTTGCCTCCTCTCCCCCTCCACAGATGTCTCTCTCGGGCCGTCTGGACTCCACTTCCCATGGTGCTCCTCTCTCCCAGCAGCAGTCGCAGGGTCTCCACGGCAACCCCCAGATGGGGGGGGGCAACATGATGATGCAGCGTAGCAACCAGAACCCCCGTCTCCACGGCGACGGCTCCTTCGGTCTCGGGGGGGCGACGGATAATACTGAACCGTCTCTAGATGTGAGATTATATTTAATATTATCATATAAATATACATTTATATACTCATGAATACATCAATAATCATAGTGGATCTTATATACTTAAGATGTAGATTTGTACAGCATATTTATGAGTTGTATTTATAGAGTATATGTATTTAAATACATTGCATCTTGTATTTAAATAGCAGCCTGAGATCAGCGGCTGCTTCTGTTTCTTGTAAAATGAGTCGTTAGTTTGTTGAGTCTTCAGGATGAAAACAGGAACACGTGTTTAGAACTCACCGGTTTGTTTGTTTGTTGGTGAAGTTGCTTCCGGAGTTGACCAACCCAGACGAGTTGCTGTCGTACCTCGGACCCCCGGACCTCCCGAACACCAACAACAACGACGACCTGCTGTCGCTGTTTGAGAACAACTGAACACACACACACACACACACACACACACACACACACACACACACACTGTAAGATATGAACTCGTGGACGATGAGAAGAATCAGACTTTTCAAAGAAGGGAACTCTTCAACTTGTGACTATTTTATTGTTTTTTTAATCCTCTGAAATGTTTTCGGATGCTTCGTCCTTCGTTTCCTCCTCGTCTCCTCGTCTCCTCGTCTCTCACAGGTTTTATCAGCAGACGAGCCGTCAAACATTCCTTCACATCAGAGCCGGCAGAGGGATGATGGGATTTGTAGTTTCAAACGTGAAGATGAGCTTTAAAGAAAGTTGACACTCAGCCACAGCGTTATTATTATTATTTAGGTTTGATTATAAACCCGTTATTAATCTTTCACACGTGTGACATTATGTGGAAACAACAACAACAAACCTTTCCATGGAAACGAGTCGTTCATCAGAGGACGTCTCGGACCCAAACAGTCCAAAAGTCTTCTCTCACGTTTGTCCCTCTGCACAAGGACCAATCAGAGACCAGGTCCTCAGTCACAGGAGGACCAATCAGAGACCAGGTCCTCAGTCACAGGAGGACCAATCAGAGACCAGGTCCTCAGCAGGACTGTCTCTGTGGTGTTTAGTTCCTCTTCTTCTTCTTGTGTGAATAAGACTAAAGTTCATCGTGAAGCTTCTTCTTCTACAGTCTTTGAGTTCAGAGGAAGTTCTTTGTGTCTCCTCCTTCTTCTGCCTTCATAATAAATGTGATTCTAATTTAAAGAGTCCAAACACAACTTCCTGTCCTGGGATGTCATCACATCTGATAGAAAACCAGGATCCTGATCAACATGATCCGGTCCACTGTTTCCTTGTCTCCTCTCCCTCCTTTCTTCCTTTTCTGATCCCTCTCCTTCCTTCCTCTCTTCTCATTTTTCATGCATCCTCTCCTCTCTCCTTTGCTTCCTTCCTCTACTGTTTCCTAGCCTTCTCTCCTTTTCTTGCTTCCTTCCCTCTTACTTTATTAATAATCGTGTTTCCTATGAATCGAGGTGGCTGAGTGTGATTATCTGTATTTTTATCAGATCAAAGACGTTTTATATTAAAAGATACTCGTGACTAACAGAACTTGGACCTGTGACGTTGCCTCAAACTGTTGCCCTGAGATCACTCCTCCTCTTCATCACTTCATGACTCTGTTGGCTGTAGAGTGGCTCATGGTGTCTCGCCCCGCTGGCTTCTGGGTAAATAAATGTGTACACGATCACACTGATTCTGTTATGATGATGAACTTTGTAATGTAATAAACACTCAGAGGACATTTGATGCTTTATAATACTGATCCTCTACACAGTGAGCTGTGACATCATCACATGATGTATTTAAAGATAGTCAGATAAATACAATAACAGACTTTAATATGTCCATGTTAGAACGAGGTCCTGGTGTTTGATGACTGGAGAGCTCACATATTAACGAGTCACACGTCTCACCTGAACCACCAGGTGAGTCTGATCGATGCTACCCCCCCAACCCGCCTTCAGACCTGTTACCACGGTAACCACGTCAACCACGAGAAGACGAGTGGAAGCTAACGCCGCAGCCGAGTACTTTACTTAGTACATCTTTGAGGTACTTTTTACTTCTTCCAGAGCTTCCAGAATCAACTGTCCAACCGAATATAAAGTATTTCAAATGTACTGTAAAACGCTTCTGATGCGTATTTATATTAGATGAGATACTTTGAGTCAATGTTGTACTTTTGGTCTTTGATGTTATAAATAACAGTTACAAAAATACACAAGTGTGTGTAACAATAAATCATATATAAGCTCTTGGTTTTTTCTGTGTGCGCGTGTGCGTGTGCGCGCGTGTAATCTAACCGGACGGACCGCGCCCTTACCGCGTGATCGCGCACCCACATTCTCCGCCTGACAGCGGGAACGCGCGCTTACTGCGGGGACTCAACTTTAACCCTCCGCGTGCGCTGCACGCATTGGGCCCCAGAGTTGTCAGTGATGCGTGGCGCGCGCCCCTCTGGTCCTCGCGATATTCAAGTGTTTACCACCGGGACAGGGAAAAGGGGCGGTGTCACAGAGAGAAAACCTTAAAACCATTTAACCCCCCTCCCGAAGCGGCCCACTCTGCTGAATGAATCAAACACTCCGTCCAAAGGGTCTGTTAAGCCAGTCAAGAGAGGGGCTCCGCTGTTCTGGCTGCTGATTGGCTTACACGGGTGCCACTCGCATATTTCCGCGTTGCCAATTGGCTCGTCTTGATTTCAAACCGCCCACCGGCGTTTTATATAAAATTAAACCACACAGTTCCATCTTTCCTCGGCTCCTTGTAGTCAGTCGACCAGTCCACTCTCTCCCCCATTCTGCTGAAATGCCCGGTACAAGAGTCTTCTTCGATGTCACCTCCGGCGGGTCGCCCTTAGGCCGCGTCGTGATGGAGGTAAACGTTAAAATGCTACGTGTAGCTAATGTTAGCCTGCGGATAGATTCCGCTAACCCTCACTCTTTTGTTTTTTTACGGTAATAAAGCCACTTCGTGCTGCGGACAGTTGGACTCTGGCATAATCCGGTTTAATATGGGCAAGTATTGCAACGTTGAACTCATTTAAACTGCAGTGGTTTTCACGCACCCCGTTAGAGCTAAACGAGCTAACTCGGCATTAGCTTCCGACACGCTGAGGCCCATAAAAGGCCCGCGGGCCATAGTTTGAGTCGTAGAGAGGCACGCTGCCCGGGCGGTAGTTCAAAGCACCGCTTGGCTAGCATGTTGAGCTAATAATGCTAACGGAACATTCAGTGGCTAGCATGTTGAGCTAATAATGCTAACGGAACATTCAGTGGCTAGCATGTTGAGCTAATAATGCTAACGGAACACTGAGCCGTTTCGTTGTTCGTTCTTATTTTATATACAAGCCCGGGAAATCTACGGTAAAATCGTACATAAAATAAAGCCTGCGGGGATACATTATTTTTTATAAGTCTCGATTAATGACGGATGTGAATTCTGTTGGCTTCATTCCACTGTTAAAAAAAAAAAAAAAAGCTAATTTTAACTAGCTGCGGTGGTTAGCATGTTTAGCCACAGAAGTTAACTGCGCCGGTTCTGGAAAGTTCCACGGCGAGGGGAGGGGCGGGCTGTCCGCATGATGAAAAAAACCCGGATGTAGAGAGAAGGCCGGATGACAACCTCGACACACTTTTTATTATTTTATAATCCTTTTGTTCCCACAATGAGGAAGCACGCATTTACATGACGGGGCTGTTGGGGATTTACAGTGGTGCCATTGTGACGCAGGTTTTCCTGCCTTCCTTCCTCTCCTGTTTCCTTGCCTCCTCTCCCTCAGTTCTTTCTCTCCTCTTCTTTCTCTGGCTTGTTTTTATGTACAGGAAACTAAAAGGTGACCGGTGCAGCCATTTTGTTTAGCCATTTAGTTTTTTAAAGGTGTAATGTTGGGTCAAGTCTGCAGAGATGCTGGTTGCAGCAGTAGTGCAGGACGAGGTCTTCTGCGACACAGAACAAGGAGCACCTGGTGATCCTGCTCTGGTGGTTTTGGCTCTTTGCCTGGATGACAACAGGCCAGATGATCAGTCACTGATTCCACAACCTTTAGCCTCTAAAAGTGTCTTAAACTGTCTTTGTTTCATTCCTCGTCTTCTCTAATCGAATGACACCGTGTGGTTCTCCGCAGCTCCGTGACGACGTGGTTCCAAAGACCGCCGAGAACTTCAGAGCTCTATGCACCGGTGAGAAGGGCTTCGGCTACAAGGGCTCCAGCTTCCACCGCATCATCCCCCAGTTCATGTGCCAGGTGAGGGGGGGCTGGTGTTATGAGGCAGTTGTGTCATTTGTACACTAAAAACTACGGCGTGTACCTCTCAGATGGAGTACAGCAGAGGTAGCCAACAGGTGCCCGCGGGCACCCTGTCGCCCGCAGGGACCACGTGAGTCGCCCGCAAGGCATGTTCTAAAAATAGCACTAGTCACAATGGAGCTCCGTCTAAAATTGTAGTTGCTGTTCTTTTTTTAATCAAACGCTTGCATTGGTGTAGATTTTAAAATGACAATATTTCTTGTCATAAGAGTTGGGTACCCGGAGGCGCACGGTGGACAGCCAGGACGAGGCCGCCACACCGCACTAGGTTTTCAGGTTCTGAATGGCGGGCGCTTTCCGTTTGCGCCTGACGCGCACCCCTTTGTCAGGTCCGTAAATCCTCGGAACAGGCCGCGGGGCAATCCGACCGAAAAGGCCCAGACTAGAGGCTTGAACGCGGGCGCCCGAAGACGCTCGCGCGCCTCGGAGGGTTGGATCCCCCGCTCGGCTATAGACGAGACTTTTTACCTGTTTCTTCGTGGAGAAAAAGGTACCGTTGGAAAAGCTGGTGTCGGTGACAACAGGCGGGGCTCCCGCGATGACGGGCCGGCATGCAGGTTCATTGCGCAATGTAAAGGTGACCCAGACTTCCCAAAATTTCTACATTACCACTGGATCATTCACCAGCAGGCGCTATGTGCAAAAGTAACCGGCTTTGATCATGTGATGATACAAAAATATCAGAGATGTGATACCTCTGACTTTCAAATGTTGAACAGAAATAAGTTGCATGTTTAAATATGTATGTGTAGCTATACCATCATAGTTGTGGAAATCATTCTTAATAATTATTGAGGAATAATTAACTGACATGTGATCAGTCTCTTCACATATAATATTATTATTATTATTATTATTATTATTATTATTATTAAAAGGTGATCTGTGCAACTTTGTTATTCAGGAAGTTTGTATCAAACAAGTAGCCCTTCGTACTACTCGGTACCCTTGAAGTAGCTCTCAGTTTCAGAAAGGTTGGTGACCCCTGGAGGACAGTGTGTACCTCTGAGGTGGGGGACAGTGTGTTACTGGTTAAGAGTAAATGAAGATGGCACATGGCTCAGATTGAAAAGTTTAAACTCTCAAATCACAGCACATGTGAACTGTCTCTGTGCAGAGTTTGACTTTGGTAAAGTGAAGCAGAACAAAGTCAGAGGTTTTAGTACAGAGAGGTCAGGCGAGGTCACCAAAATGGTCATTTTGGAACCATCTGTCCATTGTAATTGTCTACACCAGTGGTCACCAACCTCTTAAGCCCAAGATCCTCTGCCTTGGTGACGGGCAAGATCTACCTGTTGAGGCGTTGAGAGAAAAAGACTGTCCAGACCAGGGGTGTCTCTAGGAGTCAAAGAAAGGGGGGGCTTAGCCCCAAGGGGAGAGTGTCATGTTTGCGGCAATTTTTTTTGGGCTGCGAAAATCCATTGTTTCAGACTGTTCATAGATTGGTTCAATCAGGAAGAGTGTGATTTTGCTCTTTAGTTTTGCTTGCGTTTCAGTATATGATAACACAAGAGACAGAACTTCAGGGTCATAGTGAAATTTGACAACACAAATATGAACTTTTCTCAAATAAAGAGAGAAATAATTTTCCTGCTTGTAAAGGAAAGACGGATAAACTAGCTTTCATATCCGCGTCACTCCCAAATCCTAATTCGGCACACAATGGATGGAGAATGGACCTGACAGTGTCAACTTTTGAGTTGTTTATTCATACCTGCAAAGTTGTCACTTTTCGGTGAAATTCACCATTTTGAATCAAAAATATATCATCCATGTGAATCATGTAGATCCGTAGAGTCTTTCCCTCCGTTACAGTTTGAGTTCCGTTACCGTTCAGACTTGCTGGGTTAAGTTAACGTCCACTGCATGCAGAACTTTGTCGACTGTTAACGTTCGTCATTATCACGATTTTAGGAGGAAAAAACGTAACGTGATGAAACATGCAGCCCCCCGTGTTCCGGTTCAGTTCACGCGGTCACTCATTAACGTTAAACCCGAACACCGGCGCATCTGGTTGCAGGTTGTTTTTAACTCAAAGTAGAATGATGAGATGATGAGGTCAAAGAGCTTCATGAAGAGGAGGCTGGTTGTGTAGCGCAGCTTGACGCAGGGCTGAGATGTGGAGCTGGGCCTGGATAAAGGTGGAGCTGGGCCTGGATAAAGGTGGAGGTCTAAACAGACGTGAGTACAGCTTCCTGCTGTCACAGTGTTTTAAATACATTGGTAAGGCAGGCTATGCTACATGCAGCCTCTGCTCCATGAGATGAACTACAGCAACAAGGGCTCACATGTCCTCTCATCACACTGGTCACTGTGATGACCACAGCCAGTGGACCAACAGGCCCAACAGTCCCACGTTGCTCTCAAGAACCCTGAAGTACTGAGAGGGTTAAGGAGCCTGTACCTTCATGTCAGCAGGTTGCTAATGCAGAGGTGTGTATAGATCACAGCTATTATTTTACTCTTGATAAGCTACCTTAGCCAGAGTAGATTATCATTTTCATTTAAATAATTTAACTTGATTGAATGCATATTAATTGCAAATAGAAGATGGGCCACAATTCTAACAGCTGTACAGTAACAGTGGAAGTTAATATGAAGCCGTACAGTAACAGGGTTCAATGAAAACTAATCACTTTATTTTGTACAGGTGATGGTTCTCGCTACTCTTGCTGTCTTCGTTTTTATTTGACAAACTTTTGAAAATGAGACCTCGGTCTCAATGGATTGTGTCTAAATAAAGGTTAATAATAATATTGATTAGAAGCTGTTCAACTAGAGCTGAAATAGTGATTAATCACTGAATAAATTAGTTTTTTTTCTTAAAGTAAATGTCCTATCACTTAATTTTATTCTCAGAGTACACCGGAATGCTACATTTTAAAGCTCATATTTAAAATAAAATTCCCGGATGCCAGTGATATTTTATGCTCATTTGGACACTATCAACATGAATAACAAAATAAAACACATTTCAAGTACATCGTAATTATCGAATGATGAATATTGTATGATGGGCTGGAATGGAAGGCACCCAATGCATTCACTATAATCAAGTCAAACTAGGATTACAATGTACAGAGAAAAACACTATAGGACGAGATCTGGACAGGACTTTCCGCTTTGACGTGATTTTAATCAGTCTGAAGTTGCTTTCGTGTTGCCTGTGGAGTCTGTCGATTGTGCACACGTCTCTTCAGTTGCATGCCCTTATAAGGAGCTGGCGGGGCGTTTCTGTATGCAAATCCAGGTGCACGAGAACGCGCGTTCAATTTAAGAATCCTCATTCGGGGGAGCACAGGTGAGAACACTTCGGCTGGGTAAGAACCCATTTTCAGGCAGAGATCTTTTCTGACGTTGGTCTTCAGAAGACACTTCAGAAAATGTTCGAGAATGAGGCCCAAAGTGTTTCTGAATTTATTTCTATTTTATTTTGGAGAGCGACAGGGAAAGTCTCCGAGATCGACCCGTCGAACAACCGTCCTCACGGAAACAGATTTATGACAAAAAATACCAGGAATTTATGCTGTGTCTTCACAAAAACAGCTCATGGTGAGGTGTGTTTCTGATAACCGATAAAGTGGTTCTGGTGCTGATGGCTCATTGATGGCTTGCTTTCTGCTATCTCAGTTTTCCGTGTTAGCTTTGTGTTGGTAGCTACGACCGGACTGCGGAGTCGGCTCAGCCACGGCAAAATATGACAGATATTGTGGTAATTCTTCTAGTTGTTTGTTAGTTGTGTATAATTGTGTTTGGAGTGTAAAATGGCTCACGGGATCTTGTAGCCCAGACTTTTGTCTTTAATCTGGTGTATAACACGTGTGTAACATTCATTATATTCATTCCTGAAAAGTGCTTTGTACGACACGCTAAACTTTCTCGATGGATCCCCAAATGGTCCGTATATTCATCATTGATAAATGACTTCAGCATAATGTTCATCATGTTGTCATATTGCTTATTACTGTAATACACGCTAGCATCAGGTTTCTGACAAGATGCTGTTTAATTTGATGGTCGTGATGACGTCACACTGGTGGAGCGGCACTAGCCTGCTAGCTCGCTAGGCTAACGCCACACACGATAAGGAATGATGCTGGCTGTTGGACTTGTGTGTGTGTTGGATGTTGTACACGCAGGGCGGTGACTTCACCAACCACAATGGAACCGGTGGAAAGTCCATCTACGGCAACAAGTTCGCCGATGAGAACTTCACCCTGAAGCACACCATCCCCGGCACGCTGTCCATGGCCAACGCCGGGCCCAACACCAACGGGTCCCAGTTCTTCATCTGCACGGAGAAGACCGCATGGTGAGCGTTCACAGGGTGTTTGTTTACAAGTGTTTGACATGACGGTGATGATGGTGGTGACGGTGATGTCGTCCCTGCAGGCTGGATGGGAAGCACGTGGTGTTCGGCACCGTGGTGGAGGGCATGGACGTGGTGAGGAAGATGGAAGCCACCGGCAGCCAGAGTGGAAAGACCTCGACTAAGGTGGCGATCGCTGACTGTGGTCAGCTCTGAGCTCCAGCACTTAACTCCTGTAGCCACGCCTCCCCTGTAGGCTCCTCCCCTCTGCCATTCAACATTCCTGAGAGATGGAGAATCAAACGCCCCCCACACCACACACTGACCTTTTTTTTTTTTTATTCTGTTGAGAACATGTTGCTGCATTTGTGACTTTTCCTTTAAGTTTCTTTCACAATGTCCCAACAAGTCTTTTGTTAAGTCAAAAAAAAGAATAGGAGAATAAAACAGAAGTTGCCGTGACAACTAAAAGGTGTTTATTATTCCTCACTACGTCTGAACTCTGACAGTCGATTGAGAGACATTTAGACGGTTGTTGCTTTACATTAAACACGTATTAATTTAGACACTTGATCAGCTGATGGACTGATGAACGCTGAATCAACAAATGAGCTAAACGTGTTTGCATTGAATCTCTGAAGGTCATCTCTAAAGAACAAGATGTTAGAATCCGACACGATGAGCTAATGTGATCGTCTCTTCTGCTCTGAACTCTGACTTTAACGTCCAGCAGATGGCGCGCTGCAGCTGACACCAGCTTCTATTAACATGTTCAATAGTTCTGATACGAACTACGTTCATCTCTAACAGACTCAAGACGTTTGTTTTCTGCAGTCAAATAATCAAGTTTGTTTTAATTACAATGATGAATCTCATTGTTATGGCAAAGTTCAATAATGAATTCAAAAGTATTGTATTGCTCACTTTTATTTTAAAGTGCTGCTCTATGAACTAAAGGTGAATAACATTTGGTTTAAACACTTTAAACACATCAGGTTCTTGTTAGCAGCAGTATTCCCTTTACACAGCAGCAGTTATAACACAGTTATAATGATTCTGATCATAGATATTCAGCCGCTGTTCACGACTTTATCTTCATGTGTGTAAGAGATGATATTTAAATATACTTCTTGAAAACTGTAAACCTGTCATGTTTGTTAAAGTCTCAGTAGTGATACTAAATGATGCTTATTATACATATTACGAACAAAACACTTTAAAAAATAATTTAAACTCATTTCTTTTTTGGTATTTTGGTCAGACACATATGCAACGCTGATTACCGTAATATGTGTGGTATTTGTTATAAATGTACGTTGGTACATAGAGGGTGATAAGAAGCTGTACATGGAGGGACTTAGGACCCAGGGGAGTGTAGGTGAAGGAAACAGGAAGAGACGCCACACAAACAGCTGTTCACCGCTAGCTGCCATTCCTGTTAAAAATGTCCACTTAATAATTTTTAAAAATGCGTTAACGCACGATAAAGTAATTGTCGATGTTAATTAACGCGTTAACTTGCCCAGCACTAGTTTTAATACTTAAAGGCTCATAAGTTCTTTAGTTAGCTCGCTCTGATTGGATCGTCACTTGTAAGCGAGCTGCCAATCAGTCTAGCCACGCCCACAAACACACCTGAGAGGAGCTCCAATCAGATGAAGTGATTCAGATCAGCTGTTTTAATGAGTGATGGACGTCTGCTGTAAGAAGTAAGTTTAAACATGAGTCTTTATTTTAAGTACTACCGTAGATGGGTATCAGAGTTAGCTTAGCTTAGCATAAAGACTGGTAACAGAAGGAAACAGCTAGCCTAGCCATCTAGTAGCTCCTCTAGCTAACATGTTATACGTGGTTTGTTTACTCTAAATATTCAGTTAAGACAGCCTAGCTTAGCATAAAGACGCTACACATCTCGTGTTTCACACCAACGAGCTATTTTAGCTTAAACTGAGATGTGAAATAACTAAATACAGTATTTCAGTGTTTAAGTATGAGAATGAGTACTGCATACATCATGTACTGCATACTAACCTCTGAATGGAATACTATTACGATTCCGACGTTTGTGTTCCGAGCGTCGCTGAATACGTTTACATATATTAATGTATTTACAGTGTATTAGTACTTTTACTGGAGTAAAAAAATACTTCCTCCACCATCTTTAGTTTCCACTCTGATCGGATGTTTCTAACCCAAAAACATTTAAATTATTGATAAAACAAAATATATTAAAAATAATACTTATTTATGTATATTTTATTATTATTCCGTTATTTGTATCGTGTATTTTATTCTATTTTATATTTATTTTATTTTTAAATCATCTAGATTTTTTTTTTGGATCCTGAAATGTTTTAAAAAAATCAACAAGTCTTTACTAACGTTAAAAATATTAATACTATAATAATATTATTCATAATAAAGGGCTGTATATATAATATATTATTAATAAAGGGCTGTATGAATATTAATAATACTATAATAATAATATTAATAAAGAGCTCTCTGCTTGCAAACTTCAACTTCTTCCATTTTTCTGTCTTTAATAAGATTCACACAGAATAACAGTCACACTCTTTATTTTAATAAACTATAATGACTTTTATTGACTACAACAATAACAATAATAATAATGATGGAGAACATATTTCTAACTTTTTTTTCCTGTGACTCCACGTGGAGATAAACGTTCATCTCATCATGAATATTTATTTATATTAAATAAGTTCATAAAGAGTCTCGTCAGCAGCTCCTCTCCGCCGTCCTCCTCTTCTTCCCAGAATGCCTTGCGTTCCTCTGACACGCCCCCTGCCCCTTGGTTCTCCCTGACTCCGCCCTCCCCGTAGAGGAGGCGGTGCAGGTCAGCCCGACGTCACAGTCGCAGCGGCCGAGCTTCCGCCTCATTTTCCCGGATCCTCTGAGCAGACAGGCCTCCCCCTCCACCGGGATCCTCTGGCACCGTTTACCGGTCAGGTACCGGACGCAGCACAGACCGGCGGCACAGTCACCGGAGCGCACGCAGCTCGACATCTCTGGAGCTGAAAGAGAAATAATACACAGATTACTGCAGTAAAAGTACTAATACAGAGATTACTGC